CGGCCGCCCATGGGCTGAGTGTTGGCTTGGCGTCTCTGTGGGGACGGCGTCTCTGTAGGGACAGTGCCTCTGTGCACCCACACACTTCATCCTGCCTGGGACCCAGCAGAGTTCCCCGCTGGGCTGGCTTTGAGTGCAAAGCGCCATCGTTCCACAGATGTCACGATGTGTTGGAGCCACGTGGGCGGGGATTGGACTTCCATGAGGAACTAGATCTGGCCTGCACTTGACCGTTTATCCTCTTGACCATTTAAGTTGGAGGGGACTGTGTATTTCAGCTGACTCCTTCCAGATCCGCCTTGCCGGTCCCCTGCACCAGCCTGGCACCCCAGTGCTCCGGGGATCTGGGTCCGGGGGATACGTAGGAACGAAAGCCCACTCTTGAAGTGACACGTTTAAGTTACTGACCTGTGCTATCCAGTGCGGTAGCCATTAACCACCTGCAGAGATTGAAATTTATGGTAATTAAAAGTACAGTTCCTCTGTCATATTGGTCACAGGTCAAGTGCTCAGCACATGCCAGGATGGCCCCACTTGGCTTCGAGAATTGTCAGCAGTAGAAGTTTCAATAGAAGAAGAAAAGGGGCTGGTGGCTCCCACCTCAGCCAGTGCAGGGAGAGAATGTCCTCGTCACCGCAGAAAGTTCTGTTGGACAGCGGTGCACAGGGCGTTACACAAACATTAGGCACCGTTCGGTGATGGACATTGTTACCACCATCACACAGCTTCTCTGTAACAGCTCTCTTCCCCGGGTCAGAGGAGGTGGGCCTAGAGCCAGGTGTCTTGAGTTGCAGTGCTGGGATTCCCTCTCTCAGCGCATCAGATCTGGGATTAGATGGGATGTGTCTGAATCATGCTTTCATGACATCTTTGGGGACACATCACCAATTGGGAGGCGGAACCTGGTGGCGGTCTTCTCTGCCCCAAATCCCCCAACCGTGGGTGTCCTGGGATGGCCCCACTCAGCATCTGGAATTGTCAGCAGTGGAAAGTCCAGCAGAAGAAGAAGAGAAAGCGTCGAAGAAAAGAAGATGATGTGGGGGAAAGAGGCAGCGGGAAAAAGAGAAAGGAGGCCGGGAGGGGACTGTGGCCAGGCCCAGCCTCACGCCCTCCGGCGGCTCCTGAGTGTCCTTCTGAGAGTTGGTTCTGAGAGTTGTGGGATGTCTTTGTCCCCACGGCCGTGCTGCGCCCCACGCCTCCCCCGCTTCAGGTCCATCCATCTGTGTCAGCCCCGCCTGTCTGCATCCTAATCCCTGGATCCTTCTGTCACTGATAAAATATTTGTGCGTTGAACTTCCTTTCAAACTGAGAACTTCGTAGTTTCTTTTGCCCCGCTCGAAAAGAGCCTTGACTTTCTTCTTTTTTTCTTTTTTTTTCGCATTTGGTCCTTTTCTTCTTTTCATAGTCATCCTTTTTTTTTTAATTGAAATAGTCATTTACAATGTGTCAATTTCTGGTGTGCAGCGTAACATTTCAGTCACCCATATCCATACATAGGTTGCTTTTCATATTCTTCTTCATTACAGGTTACTACAAGGTATTGAATATAGTTCGCTGTGCTCTACAGTATAAACGTGTCGTTTATCTGTTTTATATGTAGTTAATATTGGAAGATCTTGAACTCCTAATGTATCCTTTCCTACCCCCTTCCCCGCCCTCCCTGTAGCTATTAGATTGTCTACTATGTCTGTGAGTCTGTGTCTGTTTTATAGATGAGTTCATTAAGGTACCTAAAAAGCTACGCTTTAAAGAGGTAAACCAGGAATAACTGTTAACCGAGGTGTTATTTCTTGCCCCTGCAGCTAACAACACTGAGAGGAGCAATTTTAGAAGATGCCATCCCTTCTACGGCGAGGCATGGCACCGCAAGGGGACTGCCCCTCAAAGAGGTTCTGGAATATGTCATTCCTGAGCTGAGCATCCAGTGCCTGAGACAGGCTTCCAACTCTCCCAAGGTCTCGGAGCAGCTGCTCAAGCTCGATGAACAAGGAGTGAGTAATCGTGTCTGAGACCATACGTGTCGGGGGGTGGGGTGGGACTCTGTGTCCGTGGCTCTCAGTGTTTGCGAGTTTTCCCGTCCAGTTTTCTTTTAAGATAATGTATTTTTAAAAACGATTTTTCAATTTCTTTACTGAAGTATAGTTGGTTTACAGTGTTGTGTCAGTTCCTAGCGTACAGCGTAGTAATGCAGTTATATACATATTCCTTTTCACATTCTTTTTCATTATAGTCTGTGACAAGCTATTGAACAGAGTTCCCTGTGCTGTACAGTAGGACCTTGTTATCTGTTTTATATATAATAGTGTGTATCTGCAAATCCTGAACTCCCAATTTATCCCTCCACCCCCCAACCAAGATCATGTATTTTTAATGCCTTAAAGCATTTTCTCTCTAGTTTTTCCCAAATATGCCTTGTTGCTAGTTAAGAAAAGTGATGCCTTAGAGCATAAGACACCCTCTGCTGAGTGTGACTTCATTGTTTTTACCAAGGTTTGAGGATGGCCCCGCTAACAGGAGCACCTCTGATCCATGATTATTAGAGATTGCTGGCACGTTTTTCCGGAGTTTAAAGACCTCGCGTTGGGCCTTTCCCTGAACTAACATTCATGCTTGTCTGCTATGTGCAAAGCGTCATGCCCACAGATGGGGGGACAGAAGGCCTTAGGCGGCTTGAGGCTGACTCAGACCTGGTCCCTGCCCACGGGGGTGCTGAGACGAAGAGCACAAAGGCCCTTGCAGGATGGAACGTGGTGGTGGATCTTGGAGGTCTGGATGCAGCGAGGGTTCTGGGAAAAGAGGAAATGGCACCTGATGGGGCAAATCTGAAGGCGGTGGCGTTGACACTGGGCCTGTGGACTTGAGCAGCACTCCAACAGGGAGATGTGAGTCTTTTAGGAGCTACGACTAGTTTGTTTTCAAGAAAAGGGCCTCCCACCCAGGGAGGCTGGGAGTTCAAACAACAACAACACAGTCCCTTGAGTCTGGAGCTGTCGTTTAGGAAGATTGCTCTGGTGGAAGGGAACTGGACAGGCTGGTGAAGGTGGAGACTCGGTGGCCTGAAGCTCCACCATGTGAGTGTTGTCATTGTCCAGGAGAGAATTAACGATGGGCAGGATCTAGATGGTGGTCCAGAAGACCGAAAGAGGTCTTTTACCTTCAAATACAAGAGAGTTTGTAGGCGAAACTGGGAGGCAGGTGCCCAAGCATATGCAATTTACTTTAAATGAGTCGATTTGTTTTTAAATACGTGCTTTAAAAAGAAAAGGAGAGTTGTGATGTATACTTGCAGGGTTTCCCAAGGAACATGCTGTTGCCGGTTGTGAAGGTAGAATGAGGTATTTCTTGGCTGACCCAGTGACACTCAGTGCGGTATTTTAGCGGAGTCTGATACTCAGACGGCTGGAATTCTAGAAGAGATGAAGATGTCATTGCTTTAATGAGCTGACACTGTGTTCTCAGCCCGAGGAGTCAGGCATTGTGACATTCAGAGTGGGTAATCCTGAGTTCTGTCTGTCTCAAGAATGAAGGCTGCCATATTTAAAAAAAACAAAAACAAAAAACTAAACCGAGCTGAAACTTGAACCCTGAGCAGTTGGCTTCTCAAGTCACACAGTGCACAGTATAGTTGACCACGATCATCGTGGGGACAGCGCGTGTGGAGTGTTCGGAATGGCCGTGAGGCAGCAGAGGAAGTCCTGTTACCGTGGAGAGATGGCGAGGGTGTTTCCCTGCTGGTCCAGGGACTCTGAGTTCCGACAAGGTTGATGAAAAGAGCAGCATCCATTCCGTGTTGCAGGAGAGCCAGGGAAGAGGAGGTGCCGTCCCGGGGGCTCGTTGTCCCTGAAGTTCCTAGTGTGTGTTGCTTCTCCCTTGAAAACGTGTCCCCGTACCTGCTGTGAAGCAGGTGCCTGGCGGATGAGGGCCCTGTCCCCTCAGGCTGCTGCGGGGCACTCTGTGGGTGGCCTGCTTTCCCCCAGCCTGGACCCCGAGGCCCTCGAGGCCCAGGAGATGCTTCAGCATCCATAGGTGACTCTTCTCTCAGATGAAGCGGGCATGTGGGATGTCTGGCAGATGAGGTCCAGAAGCTACGCCGGTAAGGAGCATTGAAGGTTATAAACGTTGCTGTGCTCAGGAATTTTCCCTAAACTAAACATTGTGGATATTTCTAATGAACACCTGTTTACAGTCTGAGGTCAAGGAGTTAATTTTGAACATTGGGTTCTTCTTTTAAGCAGACAGATGCATTGTATAGCTCTGGTCGTATCTCATGTGTTTCTGCCTTTTTTTTTTTTGAACTCGGCAATGTGCTTTGTTTAATTTTTTTTTAATTTTGTGGGGGGAAGTAGTTAGGTTTATTTATTTATTTTATTTTTCACATTTTTTAAATTGAGTTATAGTCAGTTTACAATGTTGTGTCAAATTCCAGTGTAGAGCACAATTTTTCAGTTATACATGAACATATATATAATTCATTGCCACATTTTTTTCTCTCTGAGCTACTATAAGATGCTGTATATATTTCCCTGTGCTATATAGTATAATCTTGTTTATCTATTCTACATTTTGAAATCCCAGTCTGTCCCTTCCCACCTCCTGCCCCTTTGGCATCCACAAGTTTATATTCTATGTCTGTGAGTCTGTTTCTGTTTTGTATTTATGTTCTTTTCTTCTTCTTTTTTTTAGATTCCACATATGAGCAGTCTCATATGGTATTTTTCTTTCTCTTTCTGCCTTACTTCACTTAGAATGACATTCTCCAGGAGCATCCATGTTGCTGCAAATGGCGTTATGTTGTTAGTTTTTTATGGCTGGATAGTATTCCATTATATAAATATTACCACAGCTTCTTTATCCAGTCATTTGTTGATGGACATTTAGGCTGTTTCCATGTCTTGGCTATTGTAAATAGTGCTGCTGTGAACACTGGGGTGCAGGTGTCATCCTGCAGTAGGGTTCCTTCTGGATATAAACCCAGGAGCGGGATTCCTGGGTCATATGGTAAGTCTATTCCTAGTCTTTTGAGGAATCTCCACACTGGTTTCCACAGTGGCTGCACCAAACTGCATTCCCACCAGCAGTGTAGGAGGGTCCCTTTTCTCCACAGCCTCTGCAGCATTTGTCATTTGTGGACTTTTGAAGGATGGCCATTCTGGCTGGTGTGAGGTGATACCTCATTATGGTTTTGATTTGCATTTCTCTGTGCTTTGTTTACTTTTTTAAAAATTTTTTAGGGGGGAGGTAATTAGGTTTATTTATTTATTTAACAGCGGTCCTGGGGATTGAACCTAGGACCTCGTGCTCTGTCACTGAGCTATACCTTCCCCTCATTTATTTCTGCTTTTGATATTATATTTGTTTGATATGCTTTCTTAATGGTGTACAATGCGACATTTTAACTCCCTGCAACTCTTGGTGGTATCTAATTCCTGTTTCACGGCAAGAAGAGATACCATGTTTTTTCTGCAAAAGATATTAGACAGCATTTTTAACACCCTAGTTTTTAAAGGATTTGTAAAAGTTGCTGCTAACCTGTTAGGGTGTTTGAGAATTTCTTCCAGGTGGTGCTATTTTTAACCACTTTCCTAATCTGCCTAATCCTGGGAGATTTCCTGAAAATCTGCCCAGGGTGGGGATGGGCCAATTCTCTGTCACTGTCCTTAAGGATGTATAATCTCAAAAGAATTATTAAAGGATATGTTGTCACTTTCCGCTTTCTTGGAGTTTGGAATGCATTCCTGGTTTGACAGTCAGTGAGTTTACCTGCGCTGTGTAAGACGTGTGTCAGCCGTGGGAGATACAGTGGAAGTACTGGGAATGGAGCCCAGGACCTCGTGCGTGCTAAACACACACTCAGCCACGGAGCTTTACCCTCCCCCCCGTTTTTGTTTTTTTTCTTGGCACTGCTAAAGAACATGTTTGGTTCAGTCCTAATACTGGGTATGACACAGTCCTGCCCGGCCCTGCATAGATCCTTGTCTTCAGTGGGTGACTAGGGCTCAGACAAGAGCCCCAGGCCTGTGCACAGTCCCCCAGCCATGGGAGCTGTCACTGTAGACATCCTGGCAGACAGTGAGCAGGGGGTGTTTCCTTTGCATCCTCCCGTCCCGCACAGACCCAGTTCAGGTGGAGGGCGCTCGGGACGTGTGGGCGGTTGGGTGACTGCCCCTCTCTGAGCTCACCCCGCACGCAGCGAGGCTCTCCTGCGGTCTGCGGAGCCTGCCCCAGCAGGCGACTCCCCTCCTTTCGTGGACCACGTCTTGTCCTTGGGCACCGTGGACGGGACGGCGTTCATCACTGCCGCTCCCGGAAGCAAGTGCTGCTTTCTCTTAGTTTACTGACAGAGTCAGCTCTGAATTTTGATTAAAGGCTCTGTTTTACAGCCTGATGATGAGAGCGAACAGTGTTACGGATGGAGGTCTTTGGGGAATAGGTGAGATCTGATAATCTGTCGGTCTCGGAGGCTCAGATTGTTGGTGGTAAGATTAAATGCCCTGATCTGGTGAAGGAGAAGCCACTTCTCTTTGGGGAAAGCAAGAAAGCTGTAGACGTGGGTCTGGCCTCCCCCCGGCCTCGCGAGAGAGCATCATTGTGGCTTCCAGCGAGATCTGGGACGGATGGGAAATCAAACTGCAGCTGAAACTCTTCAATGGCTATAAAAATTCTTTGTGGTCTGTGGTACATTTAACCGAGGTTTCCTTTCCAAGATAGTCAAAAATGTAGAGATGACTGGAATTGTACAAAGTTACTTTTATGGAAACAAAATACTATTCTATCTACAAACGTGTAAGACAATTTCCAGTGGGATGTCTTCCCTTATCAGGCATTCATTTCATTTGTTTTTTCATGACAGCCTTTCCTATTTCCACGAATGTTCAAATAACAGCAACAGAAAAGCATTAGGAACCAGAGAGGGCAAACTTTTTAAAGCGGGCAAACTTGTTTTCCTTTCTAACTTGGAAGATAAGTCTCATTGCCACAGGGAGGGTATGTGGTTAAGCATTTCAACAGCTGTGTTTTTGAGTCAGTGCTTGAACCTGTCTGTCCGTTACGGAAAGCTGGCGATTTCTACATGGCCGCGGACTGCATTATATTTCTTGGGAGGTCTGATATTTCTCCAGCCTGTTATTTTCGGGTCTCTGGGTTTGTGGTGTATTTGTAGTATTTTGTCCAGTGACAGTGGCTGAATCTTTGGCCTTTAACTAATGGGAATTATTCTGGGCGCACTTCCCTGAGAACAGAACTGTCATTTCAATTTGACCGAAAGTTAGTTTGTCTGATACTTTCTTTTTTCTTTTTGCCAAATAATGACTTGCCTCTCTCCTGCGTTTCAGCTGAGCTTTCAGCACAAGATTGGGGTCCTCTATTGCAAAGCAGGCCAGAGCACAGAGGAGGAGATGTACAACAACGAGACAGCGGGTCCGGCTTTTGAAGAATTCCTTGATCTTCTGGGCCAGAGGGTGCGGCTGAAAGGATTCAGCAAGTACCGAGCGCAGCTAGACAATAAAAGTAAGCCTCGTATCTGTGTGCGTGCGCGAACCTTCAGCCTCCAAAGGGAGGCATCCCACGTCCATCGAAGCAGCAGTCACATGCCCCCGGTTCTTGACCCCAGAATCAGCCTGATGAGTTTATTTGGGAATAGAGTTGAGATTTCCTCCGAGGAGCAGAGGAAGTCCGTTTCTTTGGAGGTATGTGTTCCACATAAGCTCCAAAGGTCAGTTCTTTTCTCTTGTAACATCAGCAGAGGCTCCCCAGTGCTTCTAAGACATCCTCGTCTCTTCTTCTGGCCTCTCCATCACATCCCTGTTCCACTACGGCAAGGACGAGCCCGAGCCCTGTATTCGTTCCTAAAAGACTCAACATTACCACATTCACTGACCTTGCTGATTTCTGCTTTCCTGGTGTTACCTGGGGAGCGAAAGCTGTGATTAAAAACCTGATGCATCCTATTTTTCCAAGACCCTCAATCAGGTTCCCTTGAGGGGGACCCTGGTGAGCGCTAAGATGCCAGATTGACTTATGCCTCCCTGCGATGTGTGAATTTGTCTTGTATCTTCATGTTGGCAATCTTACTCCTTACGATCCTCAGAAATTCTAAATATTTTATTTTGGCATTTGCACTGTTACTTAATTGCTATCAGCACCTAAGATACCAAGCAGAGTACTTTGGTGTATTTGGGGAGGTTCTGCTTACTGTCACGCAATTCACTGCTTGCTGTTTTAATGAAGGATGAGCCAATGGCTTCTGAAGCTGGAGGCTCTGGGAGAGCGTGTAGCCCCTCCTGGTAGGAGCGGTGATGTGGGATCCTTTCCCTGTTGCAGCGTTAGCATGAGGCCAAGCCAGGACTGGAACCAAGGCCCTGCGGTCCCCTGCCCCCAGCGCCCACTCACCTGGGGGACACTTGCCTAGCTCAGGGTGGTACTGGTGGTCTCCATGTACCTGGCCTGTCATCAGTTCTGGAGTTTTGATCCGTTTTTGAAAGTTACACTTGGAGGATACATCACAGGACCTTGGAGATGGCGTTCACTCACACGTGGGCCACTGCGTATCTTCCCTGTGCGCCAGGGTTGCAGTTTGACTTAAATTGGATGCCTTTTGCTCATGGCTCAGAAATGCAAGGGTTAGAAAATAATTTGTGACACCCATTGTGAATGTCCACCTACTTTAAGAAAGATCAGTGAGATCTTTTCTGATTTTTCTTCTTTCTTCTTGGCAAACTCCCCTTTACCTGCAGACCACCACACACACCCCCAGAGGTGCTAAGCTGCTGCCCGTAGGGATGTCCTTCCTGCAAAGCCGACGTGGGCACATTCCTACGCGTTTCTGCCATCCCTCTGCAGTGGGCTGGGTGGAGGAAACCTCTTAAGAGCTTCTGAGCTGTACTTTCTATAAAACTACAACATAGATAATGCTGATATTTTCCAGTGTATAGAATTGGCATCTGCTTTGAATTTTTAAGACCCAAGACATGTCTTTAATGCGTTGCAGGTGCAGTGCTCAGCACCTTAGCTCAAGGAAATGCTAACACAAGAACAAGCTTTTGACATGAGGATTCTGATCATCAATGAATCTTTTATTTTTAGGAGCAAGGTGTCCTGTGAGATGCAAGGAAATCGTGATCTTCCATTAGTGGAGTGGAGGTTTCTAAGAATTATGTGTCATGCGATGGTGAAATATAAATAATATCTTTTATGCCATGGGCAAAAAGGGAAAAAAATCTTCCTTCTGAAATTCAGGAGAATTGTGTTTCAGTTTTAATTCTGTTTGCCCACAGGATTTTGGTCAAATCTGGGCCTCATTTCTTCATAAGGGAAATTTATTGTTGAGCTAGCTTATCTGAGATGTCCTTTCCAGCCTGAGAATGGTTTGTTCCTCCCTTAAGTTCAAAATTGAATTAGGTAGGAAGAAAGGGGCTGTGAGCCACAGAGGTGCCCTGCTCACCTGTGGTGAATGGACCCCAGGCCACGGGCAGCCTTTCTTTGGTTGGGTGCAGAGAATAGTAAATCCAGAGACCACCACGATGGCCCTCTGTCTCTTTTTGAATAGGAATATTTGTAGCCAGCCCTCGGACACCCTGTTCCCATACTGATGTTTTAAGACGAGAACTTTTTAAAGTACTTCATTTTTGAAATTCATGTGAAGCGCTGCTGGGGATGGACAGATTGTGATCACATTTTTAAAAAGTGTCCCTCCCTCGCCTGTCCAAAATCCGCATTTTTCTTTTTTCACTGCAATTTCCTGAAGCTGAAGCCTGTCGGCTAGACCACTAAACATCTGTCAGCCTTGCTCTTCCTGAATTTCAAGCATAGTAACAGTCATTGCATCTGCGGGGCTAGTTCCCTCCCTGACCTTCAGTATCGTTGTCAGTGAACCAGTTCTTCGTGGAAAGGAACGGTCATCCTTCTCTCATGACCTGGCCTGCTCACTTCCAAAGCCACGTTCACGCTCAAGGTCCTGAGACGAGAGAGTTGAAATGAAATGTTACTCTCTAAGAAGTCCTATGAAAAATAACAAATATGCATTAAATGAATAGCTAGAAGAGAAAAGGTCTTTATTTGGGGATTAGGTGCTCTACAGCTTATTAAGTGAGTATCCTCTCTGAGCAGCTGCAAGTTGATTGATCGATACATATAGATAAACATTTAAAAAAATACTCCCCTTATTCATGAAATTGCCCTCTGTGAGTACCTTTTCATTGCCAAACTGTATATGATATTTTTCCTAGGGGATTTCAGGACTATTTCTGAGTCAGATGTAAGTATTAGAAATAAAAACATGTTGCATGATTTAGAAAGAAAATAATAAAGGCCCATGAAAGTTAAATGTTTTAATGTTTTTACAGTAAAAATTTCAATTTTCAGATGAGGAAAAGGTTAGCCCAAGATGACTACTTGGACTTTCCCCAGCAAACACAGTGAGGTGAAGTTTGTCTTAAGTAATATTGAGCAGGATTGTTCCCTGCTGTTTAAAAAGGTCGAAAAACATATAAAGGTCAAGGATTGAGAAAGGCAGCCCTGAATTCTGTTTACATCTTAATTTCTGTTTATCTTTTTGTCTTTATTTATCTGTATGCAATGTGGTTGAAAACTCCATCCAAAATTATTACCTACGCGTTCTGTAGTCGCCAGGATGATTTGGGTGTCTGAAACTCTCAGTCCGAGGTAATCGATTGATAACACACGTGGGTTTTGAATCTGCACAGAACCCTTCTGCTGTTCAGAAGATGAATAGCTGTATGATGAACGGGATTCAGATGCCATAGGCTTTTAACACGTGTCAGTGCAGAAAACACAGGAAGGGACTGCATTCACTCTCTACGGTCTTGATCATGTGACTGAATCATCCCGTGGCCAGCTGAAAAGAGAAGAAGATGCCTTTCATCATTCAGAGAAGGGAAGCTTTCACACTTGTTGACCCCATTTCCATATTAAGTCCATCCTGTTTCATTTTTCTGGGACCTGGAGGGTCAGGTACCCAAGGATAGCTAGGAATTAACTGTAAACACACACACATGCACGCACACGACGGGGCAAGGATAACTTCTCGCTGGCTCAGGCCCATCCAATAATAACATCCAGGTCTGCACGAGCCTCCATCCATCCTCTGCTCCCCCGCTCTCCCCCTGGCTGACGCACTGCACCCCACGTGGCTCCTCTGGATCAGTCATGCGAAGGCAAGAATGTAGGACGAAAGACAGGCGAAACCAGGCCTATGTGCAGTAGAAAGCAGGCGGAGGAAGCAGACAGGAGAAAACCCAGGGTGCAGGTGTCGGCTGCACAGCGACAGAGACAGCGCCTGAGACAGTGGGACGTCCACCAAGAGGCCGATCATTTAGACTCGGCCAGTTTGCTCTTATCAGTTGAGTTGCCTTTTGTACTAACGACCCCTAAGCGTCATGTGGCTCGTTCTGCACTTGCTAACTTCTCCTTGTGATGAATCTTTTTTGCAGCGGATTCTACGGGGACGCACTCCCTCTACACCACATACAAAGATTATGAACTCATGTTCCACGTGTCCACCATGCTCCCCCACATGCCCAACAACAGACAGCAGGTACGTCCTCCCCTCCCTCCTCCCGCGTCAGGTGCCGGCTTGGAACGCAGCCCTCGTATGGTGCTAATGTATTTAGGGTTTGTCAGAAATCGCTTGATTTTTTTTTCTTGAATGGCATTAATAATCTTTGGCTCTTTTATCATTTGGAAGTCTTTGGATTTTAACGGGAGTATCATTGCACAAGCTTTCCTTACACTTTTTTCTTACAAAACTCAGAAACTCTTCCATACTCACCTGTATTGCTTGCCAGGCAACATCTTAAGGGAAACTGCTTTCAATGGTATTAATTACAAAAAAAAAAAAAAGTCAACTGTGTTACCCAAACTTCGGTTTCTGCATATGGATCAGGAACTTATTTATATGTAGAAAATATTGTGAGAATAAATCTTGTAATTCATTCATGGCATTCTTTAATTTTAGGCGGTTTGATTGTATTAGGGTTAAATCCAGGGTTCAAACAAAGTTTGCTTTCATGCTTAAAAGCTTAGTCTTCCTGTATCACTTAACCACACTCCTTTGCTCTAACATAACACACCACAGACTTCATGGTGGTTATTGAGTAAATGTTTGTCGAATGAATGAAACTTAATTGTTGCAGAGAACTTTTTCTTGCTTTTTCTTTTTTCTGAATGCTCATGAAATTCAGTGAAGGTAGTCAAAGGATGTATTTTTCCAAAGAGGCCCCTTGCCCCGTCCCCCAGTTGCAAGAACCACCTTGGATCTTAACAGCTGGAAGGAGAAAGAGGCCCCTGGTCCTCAGCCCCAGGTCCTCACACTGGGGACCACAGCTCCTCTATTTATTCGTCTTCTCGTGATAATTGCTAGATGGGTTTTTCTACCTAATCCTTAACCTCAGTCCCTTGCCTTTCCTGCGTTTTCTACAGTTTTTCCTAGTAATCGGAGCTCTGCCCACTACCTTGAAAGGAGCTATCTTTTGATCTCATATCTTCATGTTTTTTATGAGATGGTGTTACAATCACTAGATCACATGGGTGTATCCATAGATGTTATAAAGGAATCTCAGCACTTGAAAAGTGTATCTGGAATAATGCCATAGAGACTGGTTAGATATTAAGAAGCTTCACTGAGATCCCTGCAGCTCTGAATCATCTGGGAATTAAACTCTGTGTGGGTTGTTGCCCAGAAAACCCGTAAGGCTGACTCAGGCCAAGATGACCTATCAGGACGTTCGTGGAAATACAGCGAGTGCTCCTTGGCCCCCACTCCTCGAGTGTTCAGTGGCCCTTCCAGCTCCCTGGTGCCCTGAGTCACTGGGCTCCAAACTGAATCAGCCCTGCCGCTTCCCCGAGGGGCACCTCAGGAATGTGGAAGTCCGCCTGACGGTGCTATTACTGGAACTCAAAACTGGCTTCCCCCACCTGCCTTCATTAAAGAGTTATTACAATGGTGGTTTTATGAGTTCTCTGTACTTGACTTTTTTTCACCGAACCACCCCTGAAAAGTCCCACATGTAAAAGTGTGGCTGAAAGGATGGGGGACAGAGAGTGGAATGCATGGGGGTTTTCAGCTTCCCAAACGGGAGGTTTTATTTAAAAAAAAAAAAAAAAACAAAACCTGTACATTGAGCCTGTACATTACAAACTAAAGCCTTGTTTGGTTCCATTTTTGGTTTTGTTTTTTAACCCGAGTGAGTATTCATAGCATTGAATAAATTATGCTTGATGGATCAGAGGTGAACACTGTAAAAAAAAAAAACTGTTGATTTTGGCTTTTTAATTGCTCTTACTAGAGTATATGTAATCATGCATGTCTTTGAGAAATCTGTATACTCCATATGGGATGTGGGCAAGTCATCGTAATATATGAAGTGCTGAGTGTTGAGTGGGACAGGAGAGGTTAGACTTGTGTTCTGGCCTTGCAGTCAGTCCCTTGCCTTGACAACTTGGGTGAGTGTCTTTGTTTCTCAAGAAATTGGATATTTGCATAAGGAGAGCACGGTCTAGATGGCCAACAGCGGGTGCCGGGGGCCTGGCCCTGAGAAGGATTTTACACCCGGGCTCAGATGGAGAGAGTGCTGTGTTTCTGAGATACTTTCCTGGGGTTTGGACCCGGGGAGGTGCAACACACATGAGCGTGTGTGATCAAGATGGTACGTGACATCTCCCTCCTAGTGTTAGAATTCTGTGATTCTGGGGCCTTCTTTGAGGCTTCCTTCTTCTAAGTTGGACAAAAAGCTTCAGCAGAAAAATGTAATTGTTAAGAGCAAGAATTCTGGAGCCCTGCTTCCCGGCTAGGAATCCCAGCAAATAGCCTTGCAACCTTGGGCAAATGTTCTGTGCTAGAGTTTCCTTTGCCACTGAGAGCAGAGGCTTTTACTCTTTTCTTCACCGAGATGCCCTCTGCCCGCAGACACATTCCCAGAATGTGGTAAGTAGTCGACTAACGTTTGTGGAATGAGTTAATGAGCCTTTCTTAGGTGATGGTTAGAATCAGATGAGTTCATATCAGTAAAACACTTAAAATAGCGCCTGGCACCGAATGTGCTAGATACATTTTAGGTGTTCTTATCATTTTATCCCTTAGGAGATACGGAGGATGAATGTTGCAGATGACTTAATTGTGTTTCATCTTCCTGTTCCAGTCCTCAAGATCTATTACGAAAAGCTAAGGTCTGAATAGTTCAGAAAGTAAGCGACTAATTGAGCAATAATGACAGAAAATGATTTTTTACTTTGACATTTAATATTTTGCTAACCACGAGTTGTCAGAATATTCTGTTCATAGATAGACCGTGGCACCGTGCAATCCTGGAACCCCACCCACAGGTTGCGTTAACACCAAGGGCCTAAGTGTCTGCAATGACCATCTGGGCTCATGACTGCCCCGTGAGGCCACGGAACTCAGCAGCGTTAACTGGTCTGTCCGTGAATCGTGCCTCTAACTTCGGCCTCATTAGCACCACGGTGTTTGTGACCATTTAACTGGTCTAGACACGTCCACATCAGATAGGATTGCTTGTGTTTGTTCTGGTAATAAATCAAGCTGAAAGCTGATCCCGAGATGTACTCAAAGTCTTTAGAGAGTTCACCACAGTTGCAAAACGTTCAGTCTTTGGAACGCCTGCCTCTTACAGGGAAAACCTAGCCAGACCCAGGGCGTGATAAGGAAGCTGGTTCTTGCAGTGTTTTCCCTGACGCCCCCAGGTCTCTCTCTGGGCCTGCTGGCAGTCAGTCCACTTTTCCCAGGGCCGTCTCCCCCACGGGCCGATCCTTCCAACAAATCAGAGGTAAGCTCTCAAGCGGTGTTATCAGTGGTAGGAACCCCATCAGTTAGCTTCAGACTTCGCTTTGGCAGAGAAACCTTTTCTTCAAACTGAATATACAAGACCAATAAAGGTAGCATGGTTCTTGGCACGTAGTAAACCTTATTATTATTATTTTTTAATGCACATGTCAAGTTCGAACGGCTCTGCTTGGTTGGGGTGTCCGAGCTCCATGGAGGTCCCTTAGGAATAAGACCAAACCCCTGGCTTTCTGAGATTCCGCCTGCAGAATTCTGGTCCTAGCCTAGGGGTGGGCGTGGCACCTACAGACGTAATGAGAACACAGTTTGTTAAGCTTGAGCTGGGCAGGAACCCCTTCTCCAGATAATTTAGACAGATGGCCAACCCCTGCCTTAAAAGGTGTGTGTACGCACTTCTGCGAGCCCCTAATTGGTACGGCTGCAGAACCACTCACGCTGGCGGAGTCGCCCTCATGAAGTGCTGTCTAAGCAGGTCCCCACTGCTCTTGGGTGAGCCTGTAATTAATAATCCGGAATATTTGGGGAGGATAAAATGCTTATTCAGCTTTCCACAATTAGCTTTATTGCCGGGGCCAGAAATAAGAATGTACACGTATACCAGATAACAAGAATTATTGCTTAGAAAAAGGGCTGGCATTGCCTGGGATCAGAAGAGGAATACGTGTGTCTTCATAATCCTTTCTTATCTTTACCGTGTTAATAAATCATTAAAAATCCCCATTCTTGGTTCATTTCCGTTTCTCCATTTCTAACACCTTCAGCCTTGCTTTACGGGCTTGTCTATTTACTTGCTATTGGTAACAAGTTTTATATAATAGCTGTGTGTTGGTTATATAACATGGTAACCTTGAGACGGTGATTAAATTTGATAATATCTTGCTGATCTGGGATGAGAGTGGTGACTGGCAGTCACTTTTTTGTGGGAGCCCAGGGGCGAGGCTCTCTTTTCTCTAAGTTTAGATCTTTTATATTGTAATGTGTATAGCTTTTCCCTCTCCTAATACTCAGACTACTGTTCTATGTTCACTATTTCCGTGTCTTTCCACAGGAAATTCTAGATGTCTTAAGAATCAAAGCAAAATTCTCATCACGGGTGCACACCCTTGGGTATAGAGTGTCTGAGGGTCTGTGTTATGTGAGTTGTGTGTGCATGCGTGCAAAATGAGGAAGGTCTCTGAAGGAGGAGAAGCTAGCCCTTTAAATAAAGGGGAGAACCTTTCTCAGCGGGGAATTAGCAAACTCAAGGTCCCTCCTGCAAAAGCAAGCAGGTGTGTTCCGGAGCGAGGTGGCGTGTAGAAGGGGAGGGCATGCACTGACATCAGACTGCGGGAAGGATCAGGCCAAACCCGCCTTTGTCAGCCCTGCTCTACCTGCCGGGACTTTTTAGATCCACTCCGAGGACTGAGATCCAGAACTTACAACTGGTTTTTTTGTTTGTTTGTTTATTTAAATGGGGATGCATTTTGTTTTTTTGCTCACTTCTGGGCTCATCTTTCTGAATTTCAAAACTTGCAAGGTAATCGTTAAATGATGCAGTTTCCTCTTTGAAATCATGCTGCTTTTCACATACCTGCTTCTTAAGAGAAGAAACTCTCTGGAGAGCTCTAGTTTCAAATTCAGCTTCCTCGTCATTGACTGACTCTTAGAGACCTCTTCTGAGCCACGTCCTGACTGTTTCTCTTTCATATTTCACAGCCTGTTCCCCGCTCTCCTCCAGAATTAGGTGCCAGACATTCCTTTTTCCTATCTTGCTAGGTTTAAAAAAAAAAAAGAATTGAGCAAATGAACCTACTTGGGTAGAGGCGAGCAGATCTGACCGAGTGGAACTTGGTGGTGTTTTTCACGCGTGTGTGGCTGCCGGAGGGGTGCTGGTTCTCACTTGCCTTGGATGGCTGCTCCGAGTTAAAGCTGGACCTGCAAAACCCTGACGTTTGTTTAAGGCGTGGGAAATACACCCCAAGGTTGCTATTTTGGTCTCATCTGTATGCTTTTTGTCATGGAGTTGGGTGAAGAGTCACATTTTCACTTTCCTTGTCATGACAGGCGCTTAGTCCTGTTTCACAGTGTGGATCAAGTGTTGGGGAATTTGGTAGAGTCAACTGTGAAAATCTAACACAGTATTTACTAACTCATGCTTGTGGTTGGAGACCCTAAGTTGGTTGTCTTGGCGCTGAAAACGTTCTGGGAGCTTCTCCTGTCTGGAAAAGCCTGGAAGATGTCATTCCTTAATTTCCAAAATAGACAGCGTCTTGGCGACCAGGGGCTTGACTCACCTCCCTGTCTTGCTGGGCTGTCCTGATTTGTGGGCTGCCTCGCCCTCTGCCCTTCCGTTTCCGGACTCTAATTATACGGAATGTCATTGACCGATTTGAAAAAGACATAATCCACTGCTAAAGAAAACATTTACCTTTAGATACAAAGTCCAAGAAATACTTAGGTTATGTAATGTCCAGCGATGAATAATGTTTCTGGGACCTTTCCAAATGCCGTATTTCTTTAGTCGCTAGAAAGATTCAGGTATCCCCTTCATGGACAAAGTGTTCATTTTTTCTCTCAGTTGATTCTCTGCAAAGAAATTTAGGTTTTATCTTCTTAATGAATCTCCTTGCTCCCCTTCCACATACTTTATTTTGTCTACAGAGTGCATTTTGTAACCGTGCACTTTGTATTTGAGAAACTTGCGTAGCCAGTTTTACAAAGCGGGGGGGGGGGGGAGCTAGCCAGCAGGTTGTCAAAGAAACCGGCCTTAAAGTTGCCTTTAACTGCTGCTTTAAATATTCCCGTGGTGAAGTGGAAACCTGCACCCAGCATCTCATTTATTTGTTCCTGAATTTCCCTTGTCCTGTTGCAGGACGTGTGACTCCCGTGTCTCCGTTACTGGGGGGACGAGGGAAGAACATCTTAGCTTCCTTGAGTTTTCAGCGTGTCTGTCGATGCTTGTTTTAGATACATCTCCTTGCCTTGCTCTCTTTACATGAAACGTTTGCTGGAGTGAACATCTGTGTCCACCAGAGTGTGGGTAAATAATAACACCATGCAACTATGACTAGTTTGCTACTGACATAGATCCGAAATGTCACCTTTTACTTAAATATCCAGCAAACATTTTTAAAACTCCAGATGGCTCCTTAAGGTATATTACCATATCTTTCAAAACTGCACTCAGGCAGGAAAATGATTTTGGGGTGTTTATAACTTTAACCATGGGGATTCAAAGAGGAATTTTCCAACATATGAATCAGGGATTTAACTGGTACGTAGTGAACTCTGGAAGGATGGATGTTTCATCCCCCTTTTCCAGGCCTTTTTAATCATGCAAAATCACGAGTCAGGGGCCTGGCAATGAAATCCTCGTTGCATCTGAGTTTAAAAGGTTTTTAAGAGTTGAACTTACTGCTCTTTATAGCGAAGTATGTGGGTGCCAAATAAATGTAAGGGCAAGCTCATTGTCTTTATTACGGCTCGTAAAGAGAGATTTACTGCCTGGGATGATCCCATTCCTGCAGTGACATCACCCGCTCATGTAAGGATTGCAGTATCTAAGCTGACGACCACAGACTTTGTGAGCACAGATGCTAGGGGCTTTACACGCAGAAGTGCTATGTGTGCAGACTTCCCGGTGTTCAGAGATGGTCACGGTTTCATCGCGCGGTATGATGTGGCCGTGATTGTATATTTGTGTCACTTGTTTATTCCTTGAGCAAATGTCTCCTGGGTGTCTGCTGAGTCCTGGGCAGGCCATTAGAAACTCGGAAACCAAAATCAATCAGACACGTCTCCTGCCCACCTGACGATGAAGATGTGATGCAGGAGAAAGAAACCAACAATTAGAATAGGGTACCACATCTGTTGTCATAGCAACAGGCCTGGGTGTGTGGGTGCAGGGCCCGAGCAGGCTCGCCAGGGGGGTTCCTTCCCGGCCCGGGGATAGCTAATCAGAGACCTGAGTTGTCCAGGAGAGACTTGGGGTGAAGGGGGCATTCTTGGCAGAAGGAACATCAGAAGTAAAGGTGCTAACATGTTGCCGCTCTGGGGTTCCTTCTCTCCGGCCACGTTTGTAATTTATTAGGTTTTCCATCTGTTCATCTGGTGGAATTCTGTGTTTCCGAAATACATGTCAAAGGCTACATTTCAGGTAATTAGTTTGAATCTACTGCCACCAGAATCACAGGCTTCTGTATTTCCCTCGCAGGCACGCACGTGCCTGTGGGGGCACAGACACAATTAAGCCGCCGGACGCACTGGTGTCACTAACTCTCCCTCCCCTTGGGCGCTGTGCTGCCTCCTGCTTTTAAGTTAAAGGGCTTAAACTGCAGAATTCCTTAAAGTGATTTCGGCTCTAACGTGGTATTATTTCCGGGTTAAAAGACAAAGCCGAAAAGGAGCGAGAACACGGGTCGAATTAAGTGAAAGAAATGAACCTGACTACATAGGCTTTTCCCTCCGTGGGTCTTCGGACGCAGCCACGTCGAGGAGGCCTCGCTTCCAAAAAGCAACTCTGGTTTTCTTAAAAAAAAACTCCTCTAAACCGAAAGCTGAGTGAATTGTGTCTCTATTACAGCTCCTACATTCACAGAAGACCTTCTCTGTAACTGTGTACGTTTGCTTTCTTCACCGCAGCTCCTGAGGAAGAGGCACATAGGGAATGACATCGTGACCATCGTCTTCCAGGAGCCCGGAGCACTTCCTTTCACTCCAAAGAGCATCCGGTCCCACTTTCAGCACGTCTTCGTCATCGTCAAGGTGCACAATCCGTGCACCGACAATGTGTGTTACAGGTGAGTCAGCAGCCCCCGGCATCTCACGCTCCCAGAGCTGTTTCAACAGGACGTCTCTTCCCGAAATATCTTTGTTTTCCAATGATTATTTCTAACCCCATAATCATCTTTTTCCTCCACCCCCTCCCTCAGGTACTTTTTGTAAGAAATAATGACCTTCTTCCCATTTTGAAAGAGCGAAATTCCCAGCAGTTCACAATTGTAGGTCACACGTGTCCTCGCTTTTGAAGACGTCATCCAGCCCCTGCCAGAACCGCTGCTTAATGGGCAGCAGCCTCGGAGGCAGGTGAGGCCACTCAGGCCCTCCCAGGTCTTCCCCGAAAGGAGTGTATGCATCATGGTGGTGAGATGTTTCTTCTCAGCCAAGATCTTAGAAACACGCAGGACCCTAGAGCTGCCAAGTTGAAGCATGTACAACTTTGATCTGAGATGCATAGGGTGGCAGCGTGTACCATATACTGTAGCGTGCATGTCCATTCAGATCCCCAGGTTAATAATTTGGGACAAAAGGAATCGCCCCTGTAGCAGATGTCTCTCTCTGCTCACTATGGAGCTCTCCAGCGAGAGCCGTCTTGAACATATTTTGATACAAAGTTTGCGCTGATGCCTTGGCTGAAGTGCGTGCAAGCTGTAGTCAGATAGCAGCTGAGCTCCACAGAGCTAAGCGCAAAAAGTAGCCCCGCAGGGTGTTAAGTGGGGTTTGCCCTCTTCAGCATCCTGTGGGTAGAACACTTCCAGGAATCTGCGCCCATCGCTGGAGGAGAAAACCACACGTGGCACAGGCGATCACTGGAGTTTAGGATGGTGGCCAGCGTGGGGACAGCAGGGTCCAGAGGGCAGAGAGGTCACTCGAGCTGTTGATCTGTCCAGAGGAGAGGCAGCAGGTACGGCTAGCCTAACCACAGTCCAGACAGGGAGCTCAGAGACAACTCTCCAGGAGTTAATAATTCCTGTTCCTGCCCGATCTAGAGCGTTCATCCTAAGGGTGGGAGGAAGGGAAAGACTAGTCCAGTATGATGTCAGCCCCTAAGCCACTTGGACCTCTGCTAGGACCTTCTTGGAAGACATGAATCCTGTCCCCCATGTCTTCCCCGATTTAGTGCCCTAACTACCATACGTGAGTGCACTCGGTCGCCTGTCCCAAAGGGAGGCAGTCCTTCCCTCCCCTTTCACACCAGCTAAGGCCCCACCCAGACTGTCTTCCATCCATTAGCTTGTTTCCCTGGAAGCAGTGAACTCTGCTGGAGAGTGTGCAGGTCACAGTGAAGCTGAGAGGCCCTGGGGACTGCCACCTTTTTAGTCGAACCAGCCACATCCTGGAAAAGGAATTCATGCCTAACAGAACCAATCGGACTGAAAGTTCTCCTTCCTCAAGTCACCTCTTTCTGGATTTTCTACCGTGGCGAAAACGAAGCATCAATTTCTTCCTCTGTTTATTCCAGCACTGAAGATACCCACCTGGGCAGGTGTGGGGTTGGTTCCCATTCTTGGAGCAGAGGCTACTCGGTAACTGGGGAGGAGACACCCGGGGACTCGTTCACTCACTCACTCTAGTCCTTCATTTGTTCGTTCATTCGTTTACTCTTTCCAAAAAGGATGTGAGACAACCAGAGCTGATGTCTGATACAGGCGAGGTGGCTGGTTCTGCCATATTGAGATGCTTGGTATTTGTCACGATACATTTGATCCTTTCAGTCCCTGGAATCTCTTAAAACTTTACATCCATCCAGTCTTCATTTAGTTGTTCAAAATGTGACCAATCAAGTGAGCATTTCCTTAAAAAAGAAAAAAAGTGACACTCAGAAATATTGGCCCCATAAGTGTGATCACTGTGTCCAGGGCCAGTGAGACTGCAGCAGCCAGTGGGGCCAACCTCACTCCTGTTGGGAGTGTCACTCTGTCAGCGGGGACCAGCTGCAGAGTTAGAGCATCAGCCTGGCTTCGGATCCATCAGCCCCTATCTTAGCTCACACGGCCATGACACGTACCACAGACCTGGTCATTTAAGGAACAAACATTTGTCTCTCGCAGTTCTGGAGCCTGGAGTCCAAGATCCAGGTGTTTGCAGGTTGGGTTTTTCCTGAGTGCTCTCTCTCTCTCTCTCTGGCTTGCAGATGGTCGCCTTCCTGCCGTGTCCTTACGTGGTCCCTCCTCTGTGTGTGTGCATCCTTGGTGTCTCTCTGTGTCCAGGTTTCCTCGTGTAAACACACCAGTGGGATTGGATTAGGGGCCACTCTCATGACCTCATTTTGACTTCATCATCCCTTTCAAGTTCTTATCTACAAACACAGTCACATTCCTGGGTACTGGGGTTTAGGGCTTCAACCTACAAACTTCGAGTGGCCACAACTGAGCCCATAAAACCTCCCGTCTACTAAGTTTGAAAAATTTTTCCTAAAAACAAACAAACAAAACCCCTCTGGTATCCAGAAATTAGGTTAACAAGAAGCTACCAAATGGATGACTTCAATTAAACGCACGGGAATATGTCACCTTTCTGAAGGTGACCATCACAGTGTCACAGTTCATCTTGTGTCTCCTTTTCCTTCCTCAGTGTTGGCGTTTCCAGATCAAAAGATGTGCCCCCGTTTGGTCCACCAATTCCCAAAGGCGTTACTTTTCCGAAGTCAGCGGTATTTCGGGACTTCCTCTTAGCCAAAGTCATCAATGCAGAGAACGCAGCCCACAAATCTGAAAAGTTTCGAGCCATGGCCACGCGAACGAGGCAGGAGTACTTGAAAGATCTGGCGGAGAACTTTGTCACCACCGCGACCGTCGATACCTCTGTGAAGTTCAGCTTCATCACCCTGGGGGCCAAGAAAAAGGAGAAGGTCAAGCCCAGGAAGGATGCCCACCTGTTCAGCGTTGGAGCGATCATGTGGCACGTCATAGCGCGGGACTTCGGCCAGTCCGCCGACATCGAATGTCTCCTTGGGATTTCCAATGAGTTCATAATGTTGATCGAGAAGGATTCCAAGAATGTGGTCTTTAACTGCTCCTGCAGGGATGTCATCGGATGGACATCTGGATTAATGAGTATCAAAGTGTTTTACGAACGAGGAGAATGCATCCTCCTGTCCTCGGTGGATAACTGTGCGGAAGACATACGGGAGGTTGTTCAGCGGTTGGGAGTAAGTAAAAGTTTCATTTTTCCCACCATCCTTAAGTCTTCAATCCCAGATTCACGATCGCTTCCACTGTGGAAATTCCTTGCTGGTGATGGCACCCAGGGAATGAATGACTTTCTTATGGATAGAACTGGGTTTTATTTTTAATGTTTTTATTTTTAAAAATTTTTATTGAAGTGTAGTTGATACGCACTGTTAGTTTCAGGTGTACAGCAAAGTGATTCAGTTATACATGTAGATACATATATACGTTCTTTTCCATTATGGGTTATTACAAGAAATTGAATATAGTTCCCTGTCCTATATACGTAGGTCCTTGTTGTTTATCTATTTTATGTCTAATAATGTGTGTCTGTTAATCCCCAACCCCTAATTTATCCCTCCCCTCCCCTTTCCCCTCTGGTAACCATAGTTTGTTTTCTGTGTCTGGGAGTCTGAACTTAGGTATTAAATGCTGTGTCCTTTCGAGCTGTTGCAGAATCCATGAATGGTGGAGAAGCACCTGTTACAAATTGCCTGGAAAGGAAGAGGGAAGGCATTTTTCAGAAGGGAACATCAGGACATATTTTTATAGGGTTTAAAGAAAAGACAAGAGAATTGACTCAGTATTACGTCTGTCTGCAGAGAGTGACATGATGGTCCCTTCCTAGAGGGAAATTAATAGGCACAGAGTCACTGCTGACCGTACGAACAGTCACACTAAGTCCTCTTTGCAGCCTCCACTCTGTGCATGTTTATACAGTAGGTATTTTTGTTTAGTCTGCCAGATTAAATATGTTATTCATCTTGTAGCTGCAGTTTCTTACAGAGGTTTTATAGAATTATTAAGTTAGAAAGACAAAAAAAAAAGTCGTAAGAGAGATGGTTATTTTCAGTACAGATAACAGTTGTATTTCTACTTCATATTTTAACAAAGGAAGATGTAGACATTAGTCTGAGTATATACAATAGAATTGTAAGAATAAATCAAACGTAAGAGCAAAACATGCTTTGGCAAAAGAATTTTTCATGTGTAAATCTTCCCCCAACGGACTGTATCTTTCATTAATTAGAAAAGATTTAGTCAATTAAAATCATGAGAAAAGGAGAAATTATACCCATTCCCTGCCCGCTTCCCTCCCACCAAATATAAATCTGTCACTCCAGACCGCACGGAGGAGACAATGCGGTCGAGTCGGTGTCAGCCAGCCTTGGAGAAATAATGTCATTATTTGCAGACACTGTTTACAAGAAGAGGCTTCAGCGTATTCAGCAGGATTGTAGGGTGTATGTTCACAAACCTGGATGTGATGATTAAATACATGATTCGTTTGTGTATCTGGAGAATTGAGTTTTCCTTCTGAGTCTCAAGACACATTGTGCTTTCAGTAATGTTGCAAATACTTTTCTTTAAGGAGATTCACTGAGTCATCATAATCTGTGCTCCTGAAACTCCAACACCAGTGAATGCCCCTTCACCAGCCACCAAAATGTGCATCTCAGAGGGAGGGTGTAGCTCAAGTGGTAGAGCGCGTGCTTAGCACGCACAAGGTCCTGGGTTCAATCCACAGTACTTTCCTCTGAGAATAAATAAGTAAGTAAACCTAATTACCTCCCTCACCAAAAAAAAAGAAAGAAAGAAAATAAAAGAGAAAAAATGCACGTCTCATAGGTTCTTACACATTCACTGTCCTGTGGGTTCCATTCTACCGTTTTCCTAAAAAAGTGACTGTATTGCTCATGTGACTAAGGTGCCCGATGTCTAGAATTTACTTTATTTTTTAATTAAAAAAAATTCTTTTTGCAGGGGGGCAGGTAATTAGATTTGTTTATTTATTTATTTGATTTTTCAGTGAAGGTGCTGGGGATTAAACCCAGGACCTCAGGCATGCTAGGCATGCGCTCTGCCACTGAGCTATACCCTTCCCCCTTGGAATTTATTCAAGGAAAGATATTCTGGGTCTCGGAGGACTTGCAACAGGACATATTAGAAACAAACCAATCCAAAGACATTGAGGGGCTAGAACGTAAGGTTGGTACTGGGCAGTAGCAACAGAAATGGAGAGGAAGAGATTGCTCGAGTCATCGTAAAGATACTGGGACTCGATGCTACTTGCAGATGGTAAACGCTGCGCCTTTTATAGTGGTGGACAGTCAAGTCACAGGTGTCTGTGATGCAAGTAAAGACACATATAGGGAATGAGAGCTCACGCCTAAATGGGCAGGCGGACCGGTCGCTCTCAGAAGAACCCAGGCTTGGTTGAAGGCCCTGCTCTCACCGTCTTGAAATTCTGATTTTTTAAATAGAAGTACAGTTAATTTGCAATGTTGTGTTAGTTTCTAGTGTACAGCATAGTGATTCAGGCATACAGGTATATATGCGTATTCTTTCTTGTAGTCTTTTTCATTATAGGTTATTACAAGGTACTGAATATAGTTCCCTGTGCTGTGCAGTAGGTCCTTGCTGCTTATCTCTTTTATATATAGTAGTTATTATCTGCAAAACCCAAAGTCCTAATTTATCCCTCCCCCCACCCTGAAATTCTAAATAAATTTTGACCTAGAGGCCCTGCATTTCTGTTTTACACCAGACCCTGCAAATTATGTATCCAGTCTCGGGTACCTGGAGAGGAGGGAACCATATTCATGTGATGGTTGTGTCCATGCAATGACGTGAGCAGCTCCAAGTAAATGGAGAGCATGATCCTTCAACCTTTGCACATGTTAAGCAAGGAACAATGGGAAGGGTTTAGCTCAGTGGTAGAGGGCATGCCTAGCATGCACAAGATCCTTGGTTCAATCCCCAGTCCCTCCATTATATTTAAAAATAAATATATAAATAAATAAATCTAATCACCCCCCCCCAAAAAAGAAGCAAGGGAAGGGATAAAGAAATCCTGAAAAGCCAAAAGTAGAGGATGTGGCAGGTCCTTGGATGAAATAAGGGGAGGAGATAGAACAGACTCAGGGACAGCTGGACCATTCACTCTTCAACTTGATATATAAATGTTAAATTTCAACTGAAAGTCACATTAATGTTTGAAAGAAGGCAGGGCACGTGTCGTACGTGCAGTCTTTGGTAGGAGAGCTTAGTTGAAACAAAGCTGATAATGAAGTGAAGGGAAGATCAGTTCAGGTTGTGTATGTTGCCAGAGTACTTTTTCAGCAGTTTTAAATTAGTTCAGGCCATAATTGGGGAAGCTTCAATTTTTCAGAACTTCACCTCTAAGACCAGCAGTCCCTTTCCCCATTTTTCTAAGCCCCGGACTCTCTCGTGTGTCTGCGAGAAACTGATTGGCAATGTGTGCACCGCGGCGGTAACCATGGAAACGCCAGCCACACGGGTGATACACCAAACCTGCTCCGGTCCCACAGCTGTACTTACAGTCATAGGTCTTATTAAGTAGGAACCCGTGTATTCCGAGCATGTTTCATGGAAACGGAGCGTTTATTAAACTGAAACTTTATGCATTAGCTTTGTGCTTTGCAGGGTGCAGGTTTGATACCTCCCGGCTTTAAATTTCCCACAAATGAGTGATGCCTGGTTATCCAGCGATATTCAGGGAGCCCATGTCTTTCTTTCAGTGCATGTCAGCTAGTCTCAGTAAGCACTTTTGAGGGTGGTGCTAACTAATGATTGGGGTGCTTGCCTTCAGGAGTGAGATGCTGCCTGCTGCCCTTGTCCACAGATGCCAAGGAGGCTGGCTGGCCGACTGGCACGTATTTGATCTGACTGGTCCTTACACCCAGGCAAGCCCGGGCAGCCAGTATCCAGGGAAGAGGTCCTGGAAGATAGAGCAGGCTGTCTCCAGGGCCCGGGCACAGGGAGTGCTTACAGTTACCCTAACATTCTGACCTCCCGCTGCTGCCCACGCAGGGAGCTGGTCCCTCAGGGTGAGCTTGGAAGTGCTTTGGGCCAGGCCATTCTTTAAGTTGAATCAAATTGTCTAATAGGTTTCATTGCTCGATGGGTAAGAGTCTGTGTTTTGTCAGTTGCTGCAGCCCATCTGGAGCAATGGAATTTCCATGTGTAAGAGCCAAGTCAGTTGGCATAGAAAGGAGAGGAGGGATTATCAGAGCTTGTCCTAAGCCCGTGGGCTCTGGGTCGGTGGCCTCTAAGAAAAAGGAGGACACCTGTTACCAGGTTTGCCTTTGAAGATTGAAACCATCCTTTTCCTTTTATTTTCTTTGCACATGATGCCACGGCAAATTGTGGTGAAGTCTGGGTTGAAATGTGTTGCTGTCATGTCACTGCGCGGCCCCGGGGGGGCAGGGCTGTGATCCTGGGGGAGGGGCGAGCACAGTGGCCAGGGTGCCCCCCCCAGCAGCACCTCTGACTGCCTCCTCCCTCCTCAGATCGTGACCCGAGGCTGCGAGACCGTGGAAATGACCCTGAGGAGGAATGGGCTGGGCCAGCTTGGCTTCCACGTGAACTTCGAAGGAATTGTTGCAGATGTGGAACCTTTTGGTTTTGCATGGAAGGCCGGCCTTCGCCAGGGGAGCCGCCTTGTGGAGATCTGCAAAGTGGCTGTGGCCACGCTGACCCACGAGCAGATGATCGACCTTCTCCGGACGTCCGTGACCGTAAAGGTGGTCATCATCCAGCCCCATGACGACGGCTCACCCCGGAGGTAAGCTCGGGAGGCTCCCACCACGGCTCGCCCCTTGGTGGCCACTGTCTCAGGTGCTGGTCTACCTGCTCCTGCCAGGACTGCAGAAAATGTGGTCAAAGGCATCTTCGACCAGAGTTGTCTGGACGTGAACTGTTAGTGCAACTTAACAGAGCTTTGAAGATGTCATTAGTGTGTAACTGATGATAAACTGTCATTTCCTAAGCAATTCACTGGGGCGTGGAAGTCACTGATTAGCGAGTTAAGAGAACAGTACCCATGTGTGTGCAGGATTATTGGGGCATCAGATACACTCTGTTTGGTGACCACTCCCTTCTGGTCCAGCTGGTCCAGCTGGTCCAGGGCATCCTCATAAGCTGTTGTGAGTAACATGGGGAAAGAGGTGCCTGGACTTGGAAAGCTCAGAGGTGGGTAGGTGGGGGGGAGGGGCAAGGATAGATTGGAAAGTGATACCCGTTCCATTGTCAATAGACAGTAATGATGTTCAACATCAAGAAAATACCAGGGGTAGGGTGGGGAGGGCATAGCTCAGTGGTAGAACGCGTGTTTAGAATGCGCGAGGTCCTGGGTTCAATCCCCAGTCCCTCCAGTAAATAAATAAACAAAAAAATAAATAAATAAATCTACTTAACCTCTCCCTCCCAAAAAAAAACACCAAAAAAATAAAAGGAAAAGAAGTTATTAAAAGAAAAGGAAAGGAAACATTAGGCCAAAAGGAGAAAGAACGCTCACTAAGAACAAGCCATCCACCTTGTACGGCAGTGTCAGGAGTGCCAACTGGACAGCACTCCCTCTGCCCGCATCTCAGATGGAGCGCCTACCAGCTGCCCGAGAGCTCTGGCTTGGGAGGAGGGGTAAAGTTTGCTTGGAATCCAGGCATTAGACATGTGATCATGAGCAGGCCCCCTGCTCTTTCTACACCTCGTTTAATATTCTGCAAGATGGGGGTTGCAGTACTGCCTACCTCATACTGCTTTATCAAGATGAAATAAGATGGTGTACGTAAAACACTTAGCACCCTTTGCCAGAACCATCACCCCACTCATTTTAGTTAAAAAAAAATAATAAAGTAGAACTTTCAGATACTGATTTGAATTTGGGGCTCTATGGGAAATTCACACTCAGAGATAGCAAGATTACGGTGCCCACGTTCTGACCTTCTTTCTGCAGTCTCCTGAGCTCATTCTTTCTCCTCTCTGCATCTCCTAAACCTGTCCGATGGCGCTTCCTCCATCGATGTGTTCTGTATCTGTACCGTCCAAAACAGGAGCCACCAGCCGCATGTGACTCGCACACACTTGAAATGTGATGAGTGACGCTGAGGAAATGGATATTTCCTTGTAAGGAATGAATGAAGATGTCATCAGCCCCAAGCCGGCTAGTAGCTGCCATATTGGGTGGATCAGTTCTAAACCATGACATTTTTTTTAAAAGACAAACCAGCGACACACCACCCTCCTCTTTGGTTAACGTGTGCGATTTTGCCAGTGTGTTCCTGTTGGTTACCTTTCCATTTGCTCCCGGCTTGACTTTCTATGGTCTTGTTTCCTAATAGCGATTTGCCCAATTAGGTTTTTTGCCCAAGAGGTTTACAAAATAAAGGTCAACGAGCTGATATTCCTCTTGAGAGTAGCAGTCGCATGTCACGGAAATATAAGCCATCTTTTGTTGCCTTGCTGGATTCTATCCCATTAAATCCATTTGCTCCTCAGGAGTCCCATAAATCACCCAGTGGTATGAGGAGGAAGAAATCAGAGACAAAAACTGTTTTATTAAAAATGCGACTTGGAAGTAGCAGAAAGGAAATCGTTCAGCCCTTGAAGCTGAAGTATTTGGACATGAAAGTCTTTTAAAATAAAATTTAAGCCAGCTATTAGAAGTTTTTCCCACATGGGAAGATTTCTGTCTTCATTTGCTAGAGTTACAGATTTGTAAATTTCATGGTGGGCATCGAGGCTTTTCATCTGTCTTAGAGGTTGGTTACTTCTATAGATTTAGACAAAACCGGTACCATGTTCTCCCTTTGGGTTCAAAAACAGCATTTCTCTTCTATTTTTAGTTTCAGTCTACTGTTGCTCAGTAAGACTTTTTTTAAGCATTCAGGAGATCTGGTTAATAAAAATGTTAAAGTTATCATTATATTTGGTATTTAAAACATATGATTTAGAAAAATAGACTTTCCTAAGAAATGCTGAATTGGTTTTCAGCTCAAGTAGATAAACAAACAAAAACTATTATTTCAAAGTTCCGCCTATTGTTTTTTGATCCAAGGACATGTTATCTGCTTTGGTCTACACAACACACTAATTCTTTGTTTTAAAGCAAATTCTCTTATTGAAGCTATTCAACATATTTGGAGATTTTGCCTGTATTTCCTCAGAATCTCATCACTAATATCATTCCCTGAAAAGATCCGAATTTTCTCCTGATTAATTTGGAATAACTGTCTCCTGGAATTTAACCTTAGCCAAGATGAGAATTAGCTATTTGCCCAGTAGTAACATTCCAAAACTGGCATGCCTACCTGCGACCTTTCTGTAATCCACAAAGGTCCTGAGCCTGTCATTTCAGAGTCTTCCAATTCAGTCTTCCAATTTTCTGTGACTTTGAATTTGTAAATTTGCAAATCCATATTTTTGCTCATTTTGGATTCGTATTACGCCTGTGGCTCTCTGGGCGGCCTGATAAAAGTACTGGCTGTTGTCAGACAGCCTCACGTAACAGGAAGCCATCCTTGCAGGGACAGTCCCTTGCCTTAGTCTGCGATGTTAAGTATGAAACGTCATTTTCCATTTCATTCACGCTGTAGGCAAATTTAGCCTTCTGCATTATTAGGTCCGTTTTTAGAGAAACTGTAGGGGAGGATGTCTAAGAGGAAATGAGTAGCTCTCCACTCATGTTGAAAATTAAAGCACACACCTTCTCAGCAAAGTACCACGACTCCGACAGCAAAATATACAAAGGCGACTCTCAAGGTAAAACTGCAGGTTTGATTTGTGCCCTGGGAAATTACCCATCATTCACAAACTGGCTCTTAACTGCCTGTCATGGAGGGGGCCGAAAGAATCCATTGATTTAAATGGACGTGTGTGTGTAATTTTTTTCTTCGAAGCTGTCTTTAATGTAAGAGTCAAAAAGAATGGCCAGTGAATGAATTGCCAGGTATTCTCAGTCTTCATGACATGGTGAAGAATAGAGCAGAGGATGCATGGATCCTTTTTTGCCATTCATCGGTTTCGAGTTTTGTCCTGCAGGAGATCGAGGAGAAGGCATTGTCCTTGGAGCCCATCTGCACCTGTCCTCAACGGGGGAGGCCTGTAGTGAGAACAGACTCACTCCCGGTTGTCCCCAGGTCGGGGGGTGTTTGCTTATGACCCAGAAGCTGCTGGAGTAAATGCAGTCTTTCGCTGAGAGAGCATTTGTGTCGAATCAGAAGGCACCAGCGTTTTGAAGTCCGGTTCTCTGGCCTCGGGGAGGTGGTAATTCAGCCGTCCCACGGCTTGAAAGGAAGGCAGGGCCGTTTTTTATTTTCCTCTTGGAGTTCCGGAGAACGGAGAACATCACGCCAGGGAGGCTCCCTCTGGGAATGCGCATTAAGTGATCACGTGCTGGGATTGGGTCCAGGAATGGATTTCTGTAGACTGGGGAAGAGTAGCAAGAAGCAGTGAGGGAATAGCACTCTTCAGATGGAAATGAGGTTTGAAAGGGAGCGAGGCTATTTCCCAAGCCAGGTGGTCTCTGTGGCAAAGATGGAGCAGCGTTTAGAAGAGGGTTCATTAAGCATTCCTTGGTTTCGTGCAAGGCGTGGTGTGGCCTCAGTCCCCAGCCTTCAAAGGTCGCTGACATCCTATCAATGTCATTTTTAAAGCACATCAACTTAAAAGGCTAATATAAAGGAAATAACAGCTCATCAGAATTATGCACGAGTTGTACAGTGTGAGTGATTTCGGAAATGCGTCCAGTAAAAATGGAAATGAAATTCCTTACTGTGGTGCATCTGTCTTGTGTGATTTCTCATACTTTGTTGACACACTCTCCAAGACATATTGTTCTATATAATGGAAAACAGTGGAAACGATCTCATGTCGTCATGAATCTAAATCGTTATTCTCTGACCATCCTGTAAAATGGAAGCGATACGTTCTTGCCTTCTGTCTTGCTGCCTGTTGCCTGACCGTCCCTGAAGTATGCAGAGGAGGACGTGCGAATAGAAACGGGAAGGAAAACTCAGTTTTGTCAGATTAGCAGTTGGTGGATGGATGGATGGATGGATGGATGGATGGATGGATGGATGGATCGACAGATGAATAGTGAGTTGAAATCTGGGTTTAAAGTGAGGCTTTAGATTAGGATTCCAATTTATTTGGATGGAAAAGGAAAATTGGTTATATTTGGTATTGTCTCACGGTACCTCCGGTAATGAATTTTTATGTGAACTGTGAAGAAAATACGGAAGTCAGGGTTCTCAGAGTAACCTGACTCCTTTTTGTCTGTGTGGCATTCTGAATGCAGTCCTTCGCAGTTACATTTTTGCTATTTTAAATTTTATTTTATTTTTTGCTTTTTTTGGTGGGAAAAATACTTTTTATTTTTATTTTTATTTAATGGAGGTGTTGGAGATTGAACTCAGGACCTTTGTGCACACTAAACGTGCACTCTGCCACTGAGCTCTACCCTTCCCCCCATTTTTGCTATTTAAAAATGGGTTTCTCAAACTAGACCTACAGCTTATTACTTAAAAATAAACATCCCATCGCTAAAAATACTTTCACCCACTCCAGTGAATAATCCGCACCTTAGTGCCTACGACCCTTTTTTTTTTTTTCCACTTGAAATGTGATACATTGACACGGTGACTGAAATACGAAAGGGGCCGGTGAAGCCAGAGTTCTCTGTTAGTTAGGCAAGTAGCTGTCTCATGATGGACAGGTTACACCGGGCTGTGACGATAGGCAGCCAGTGGCAGCCAGTGGATACTCTGTTTCACGGAAACATGTTCA